GGACAGGCTGGTCACATCGTGGACCACAGGGTCAGGAGCTGTGAGAGGCCAGGGGCCTGTGGGCTGGACCCGGGGAATGTGCACCCCATTCCCAAGTCTCACGTGATGCCCCTTGGAAGGTTCCTGAGCTTTGCTCTCCATCTGAATTCTGAGAGGAACCTGCAAAAAATACAGACATCTGGGCCCCACCCAGGAGCATCTGAATAAGACCCTCGAGGGTGCGGGCAGAGGGTGGCGGAGGGAGGCTGAAGGTGGACGTCCCCTGCTGCACCGCTTCCTCCCCCACTGTCTTCCTAGTAGCTCCTTTCCTGGGAGAGCAACTTCCTGTCCTCACAGCATGTCTGGAGACTCAGTGTCTGACTTCACAACCACGCACTCTGAGTGCAACATACGGGCTGCTTGTCTGGAATCCACATGTGCCTGGCATCCCATGAGCTTGGCACTAGAATGGGCTTTTGGAAAGAGACTGGCAACTTCAGTCTCTTTCTGTTCCTTAGCAAATTGGAGAGACCTGAACTCTGCCCAGGCAGGCTTGACATTCTGTTTACTCCACATATCATTGCTTCTGCCAGGACCTTCTCAAAACATAGGTGGTGTCTATTGCCATCAAAGATGAAGAATCATCATGACCAAAAATGTGATAGTTCCATGGTGGATAAATTAGCATAATAGTGAAGGGTTTGACTTTCCAGGGGTGCATTAAGATGAAGATTGAACTCACACTGTTTACCCTGCTCCTGAGTTTACATATATTTCCACATGGCACCGTTCAGGAAGAGATTGAGCTCAGCTAAGCCATCCTTCTGTGACATTGTACTTGACAATCCTAACTGGAGGATGTTAACAGGGAGAAGCAGGAGCTCCTACTCACATGGCAGACACAGGCACGACCCAGGGAAACACCCAGTGGCTCTTCATGACCCGGAGCTGGGAGCCAGGGGCAGGCTGGGGCTGGTATACATTCACCACACTCAGCCACGTGCGGGCCTCAGGCTAGGCAAGCACAAAAGGCCTTTGGTTAAAGCCTTTCTAGCACGTCAATGTACTTTCCATTCACAACCTATTCTGAAGTGAAGGGCAGTCCACATAGACAATATTCACAGCAATTCTAGAGACAGTTCTTATCCTCCCTATATCACTCCCATTGTCCCACCGCTAAGAGGAAGACAAGTCTCTTAATAGTCAACAGACAAGCTTCCAAAGTTTGTCTCTGTCCTCTAAGTATCAGATTGGATTTCACCGGATCGTCTTTTGTTCACAAGGATGCAGAATTATTTTCCAACAAGTGCTATGTTTCTAAACTTTAAGATGTTTGATTTTCAAGAAACAAATATTTATAACCATATAACTATGTATAAATATAACTGTGTATAACCATACAACCATAACCAATGACTATAATCTTGATAACATTTCAACATACTCCAAAAGGAAACTTTGAGTCCATTTTACATTCAGTAAGTTAATATTAAACTATGTGGCACATCAAAAGCTTTAAATTAATAACGTGTGTTTCAGATTTTACAAATCATGTCAAGGGTATGTCTAATTTATGAACTAACAACTTAAAATACTACAGTTGAGTAGGTATGAGTTCCTTGCAGTTAAACAAGTTATTACAAAGAGTATTATTGTAAAGGATATATGTTATGCCAAGCAGTGACAAGATATTGTAGATATGGTCACAAGCTAGTTATAGTAAAATGAAAAAAATGTTCTTGAGACCTCTTTTGTGTCATGATTTACCATAATTCTGAGGCAAAAGGTTTATGGCTGCTATTAAAATTAAAATTGAAGGGGAGAAATAAAGCATCCCAAAATTTGAATGGAAACTAAAAATAAAAAAGTATATGAGCTGTCATACAGTGTTTATATTTTCCTAGGATGCTAGATGTTACTCAAAACTAAATCTCAAAAATATTTAAATAGTCTGAAAAATAAAGATCTATTTAGATTACACTTTTGGAAAACTTCAGAACATTATCAAGAACTTAGTAAAGCGTTCTGTTTATCATAACACTGATTCAACTATCTGGTCAAATCACTCGTTAGTCTTGTAGATAGTCTTTAAGGAAAGGAATATGATGGAACGTTCAATCTTCTTAAGTCAAATCAACACAAAGACATTAAATCACATTAGAGTTTTTTTGTTTTGTTTTGTCTGCTTGTTTTTTTAAATAGAGATGGGGTTTCCCAGGCTGGAGTATACTTAGTAGGATGACAGCTTCCTGAAGCTTCAACCTCCCTGGCTCAAGCTATCCTCCCACTTCAGCCTCCTGAATAGCTGACTACAAGCTCACAGCATCACTCTGGGCTTACTTTACTTTTTGTAGACACAGGTCCTCGCTATGATGCCCAAGCTGGTCTCAAACTCCTTGCCTCAAGCAATCTGCCTACCTTGGCCTCCCAAAATGTTGGGACAGATGTGAGCCACACCTGGCCTAGAAACATCTTACTTGCCGAAGGTTCTGTGGGAAGTCAAAAAGTTCCTGTTTAAAGTTTCCGTTCTTGTTAAAAAATAAGTTTGCTAATAACTCTCCGTTAAGCCCTATCATATGTAGCTGTTAAACATGCCATGCTTACAGGCATGTAGTACATTGTAGGTCCCTGTGCTTTAACCAAAATATCTGTGCTGGATGTGCTCACAGGCAAGTCCCAGCTCTCCATTGCTTTTACCTGTTTAAAAAAGTTTTAAGTTATTTGCCAATCGAGTTTTAGTTTAAATTGTGAGATTTGGCTCCAGCCAGCAGAGATCAGACACAGCAGTAAGGATGACCCCAAATGCTAAGGAATAAATATGTCTGCTCTCCTTTGTTCGTTTTTCTCTCGTGGCAAGATGGCTAGCAAAGGTAACCTTCCTGCAGTTCAGGAAGTAAAAATGGTGTTGCTGAAAGATCCTTTGTCTCAGTGCTGATTTTTCTTTGCAGCATTGAGCATCTGCTTCCAACAGGTTCTAAAATGGCTAATCACCGATTTTTGTCATACTTAAATTAGTTCAAAAACCTAAAACTTATTCTTTGAGTAAGCATCACCCAACAAACAAGGAAACAACACAGATGGTGAAGCTCAGGTACCTTTTTATTCACCCGTCCTTGTTAGATCACTTGCTACACTCTGATGACAAGCGCTATCATTTTACAAACTGTGTTACGGTCAAATACAAACTACAACAATTAAATATTCCTGGGGCCAGGCACCATGGCTTGTGCCTGTAAACCCAGCACTTTGGGAGGCCAAGGCAGGCAGACCACTTCAGGTCAGGAGTTCAAAACCAGCCTAGCCAACATGGCGAAACCCTGTCTCTACTAAACACACGCACACACACACACATACACACACACTCGTAGCTGAGTGCGGTGGTGGGTGCCTGTAATTCCCAGCTACTTGGGAGGCTGAGGCAGGAGAATTGCTTGAACCTGGAGGCAGAGGTTGCAGTGAACTGAGATTGTACCAGTGCACTCCAGCCTGGGTCAGTGAGACTCTGTCTGAAAAAAAAATCCCCAAATTTTCTCTATTTTACCTTCACTGTCTAATTTCAGCACAGGATAGTAAAATTTCAGTCCTCTTCATAATCCATTTTGCTAATATAATGTATAAGATACATTCTACAATAAAACTTTATAGCAGCTAATATAAATAGCAGCATTCAGTTTATTCCAATTCTGAAATTAGTTCACCAAGGAAAAAAAAAGAATCAAATAGAATGTAAAGAATAACTGAAAATCCAGAAATACCATATTCTCAGACATTGTCTTATCACTAATCATGACTTCAAATTTTATGCTATTACTTGAATAAGTTTTGCTATTTTGGAATAAAAAAACTTTTATTATTCTGATAGCATGAGTTAGTTGTTCGCCAACTACTTTTCTTGAAGGTCAGTGAGTTGTGAAAGGCATATTTCATAGAAAATAAAAAATATCTTGTGTTGCACTTTCAAATTTTAGAGTTACAATTATACTATGTAACTACTTTCTATGCCAGGTAATGTCACAAACTACTTTAAAATAGTTACATTTAACATATAAACGTTCATGAAACATAGGTTATATGTATAACTAACACCCATGGGTGTGGAAAAAATGCCATTCACTCCCAGTATCATATGCAATAAAAGAAATGCTTACTAACCCATTTACAAGGGCACATTGGCATTCTTTTTGCTATTGACTCAGGCTCTTTTTAATGAATGCTCACCATTACTAAGTGATACTGTGGCAAACTCTACTCTTCCAAGACTCCACAGAGACAATCAGCATCACAGTTTATTAATAATTCCAAAGACCATAAAAAAGTACGTTGTAGGAAAATAAAACTTTCCGCAAAAGCCACTTTTTCTGATGCCGCCAACCTGTGTATCAGCTGTTCTTGGAGGCACAGCTAGTTAGATGCTACACCATTCCTTCAGATGATGTAATCTTAAGGAATTTAGCAATTACGTGATTTACTAACGTAAGACGGTATTTACCAACACGACCGGACAAGTTGAAAAGGCCTCTCACCTACTCCTGCAGTCTTCCGGGAATTCAGACACGCGGTGTAAGACAACAGGTGTTGCAAGTTCTGCTGTCACTTCAAAGAGAATAGTCACAACAATAAATGCAAAGGATAATGTATTAGAAACCGAGAAAATCTCAACCTAAGGTATGAAAATGTTCAAATAAAAATACGACTGCTTTCTAATCGCACAGCAACTAAAAGAAGCACGGCAGAAATGGTTACGAGGCTTTATGACAGCAGAAACAAATGACGCGGGGAAAACATACCAACCATTAAGAAATAAGGACAAAGAAGGCGCTGAGGGAAAGAAGCACAGAAAAAAGCTTATTCCTGAAAGAAAATCTGTTGAATAAAAAAATCTGTTCCAAATACATAATTTAAACATTTCTATTATAACACACTGTCCATTTGGGAGAGCTACAAAAACATTTCCTTGAAAAATTACCATGGCTTCAACTATATTTTTAAAAAGCCTTGACACATGGAAAAGACTACAAAAATTAGAATTACTTGTCTCACTATTTATTTAGAAATAGTCTATTTAAAAGTCGGCCAACAACAGGAACTTCGCAATTGCACCACAGAGAAAGTAAATGCATAACATTCAGTGGCCGTGGTGTGTTTCCCCAGCTACTAGAACGTTCTGTGACTTACACCATCTACCTGGAACCATTCACCACATCTCCATTCATGCAGCGGCTCAAATAGAGTTCCTATGTTCATCCCACAAAAACCTCAGTAATTCACACATCACAGTAGTTGTTACCATTTGTTAACAGAAAAAAGGAATGTGTCTTCATATGTACGCTGGATTTCTTGTAGGCACAAGTAGCCTCTTTTGCCAGGCTGGAGTGCAGCAGCACTCTCGGCTCACTGCAACCTCTGTCTCCCAGATTCAAGCAATTCTCCTGCCTCAGCCTCCTGAGTAGCTGGGACTACAGGTGTGTGCCACCACACACAGCTAATTTTTTGCATTTTAGTAGAAACGGGGTTTAATCATGTTGGCCAGGATGGTCTCGATATCCTGACCTCATGATCTATCCGCCTCTACCTCCCAAAGCGCTGGGATTACAGGCATGAGCCACCACGCCCGGCCGCCTCTTTCTTTTCATTTGTGTATCTACACCACTGATGTTTAATTATTGATATATGTGGATTAAGAGCTACTTACTATATTTGTTACCGTGTTCCATTCTTTCTTCATGTCTTCCATTCTTGTTCTTCTTTCTCTTGTTTCAGTTGAGCACTTTATATGATTTTGCTTTATCTCTTTTCTGGGGGTGAGGGGTGGGCACAGGTTCTATAGTCCAGTTATTAGTTCTCAGTCTTATAATGAGTCTCTGGGCTGTGATCTTCACATGCGATTCTCATTCTCCGGCCCCGCTTAGCTGGGACAGGATGGCTACAGGGAGCTGGAGTTGGGTGTTTCCTTTTCTCCAGATTAATTAGGCTCTGGTGAAACCCAGTAGGTTAGGCTCTGGTTAGGTAGTTTCTCCTGAGAGGAGGCCTTGTTAAGAACAGAGTGTTCTGGCTGGGCATGGTGGTGCATGCCTGTAATCCCAGCTACTCAGGAGGCTGAGGCAGGAGAACTGTTTGAACCCATGAGGTGGAGGCTGCAGTGAGGCAAGATCACGTCACTGCACTCCAGCTTGGGTGATGGAGCAAGACTCTGTCTCAAAAAAAGAAAAAAAAGCATTCTGTCTCATTTTTAAATAACTATCTTTTCCGTCCCCATGCTGGAGGTACAAGGGATTTTTCTCCAATATTTACTATGAGAACTCGGTAGAGATCTAGCAGGTAAAATGCACAAAAGCATGTGCAACCCCATGACCCGGCCCTCTGGAGTCTTCAACTCTCAGATTTGTCTACATTGAGCCTCCAGCAATCTATCAATTACAGTGTAGGTTTCCTTGCATCCACACTGGTTCTTGCAGAGGTTTCTATTCTTGGGTTTCTGCTCTACTACATACAATGCATTCAAACCTCTAGAACCCTTGCAGGGAATCATGAACACTGTTCCTACTTGGCATGTGTAGACACATAAATCCAAGTCACACTCCTGCGCCTGCAGAAGCAAAGGATTCCTGTGATCAAGCATTTGACCCCAAGTCAAATGCTGGTTTCTGACCCCAAAGCTTTCAGGAACAAGCACGCTTATCTCCTCTGCCTTTGTTCATCTCAACTCTACCACGTGTGTCTCTTCTTTGTTATAATAAAAGTGGAAGCAGATTCCAGGAAATGAAGTTTCTGCTAAGTCACACAGCTTGAATCCAATCTTTTGATTATAGGCTGTACCCTGCATTCTTCAGGACACTTCATACCACAAGGATGGCAAAACACAAGATTCTGAGCAGGTTACATTCCAGTGGCAGAAACAAGATGCACCTCCAGAAAACAGTAAAGATGCTGTATCGGGGATAAAGATGATACTGCAAGAGGTCAGAGGGAGGCCAGATGCCTAGAGCTCCAAAAACCTGACCAGAACCTGTAGAGACAGGTAGGAGATTCATACACAGAAAAGACAGGACATGCTCAGGCATTCCTACTTCCTCCAAGTTCAGCTCATCCTAACAAAGACAATGATATGGTTTGGCTATGTCCCCATGCAAATCTCAGCTTGAATTGTAGCTCCCATAATTCCCGCGTGTCATAGTAGGGATCTGGTGGGAGGTAACTGAATGTCTTTCCTGTGCTGTTCTTGTGATAGTAAGTCTCACAAGATCTGGCGGTTCCTGCACATGCTGTCATGCAGGACATGACTTTGCTCCTCCTTTGCCTTCTACCGTGGTTGTGAGGCCTTACAGCCACGTGGAACACACTCAGTCAATCAAACCCCTTTCCTTATGCGTTACCCAGTCTCGGGTATGTCTTTATTAGCAGCATGAGAAGAGACTAATACAGACAGCTTGCCAAATTAGATGGGCAATTCGCATTCTTTTCAATCCCTCCCTGCCGGAGGAACAAGCACCTTACCTGAGACGTGTCCTGGTCACCACCCACATCCCCAAGTCAGCAACTCAACCTGGTTTCCACATCTCCATCAGTAGCACTGAACTCCTGCTGGACCCATAAAACTGACTTCTTTTGCTTTTTGTCTTATTTCTTAACTGTGTTTCAGAGTTCAGACAGAACATTTCTTACTAAGACGATAACTATTGTACAGACACTTCGATCTTGCTAACACGAGTCACATTTTACAACAAAATGCACATGCCTTAGAATTCCAGCGTGTGAGGGCTGCTAAGACCATCTACCAGTTCTCAAACTGCAGTATGCTAAAGACTGACTGAGATGCTTATTTAAAATGCAAATTTGGGGACCCCAACCCAGAGTCTTATTCAATGGGTACTCAATATATTATCTTGCTAGAAATCAATGTAAAACTTTGAATATTCAATTGCAACTCTTTACTTCATTTTAGAGTCTTAGCACTGCATATACAGCAAATAAACATTTATTAATTTTATACTTCTCTGCGTGTACAGTGAATAAACATTTATTAATGTTATATGTCTCCGCCATAAACAGCGTGTGCATCCTTGGGTGGCAGTGAGCCCTTCAGTAACCTCTGGCCTGGGTCGACAGATATCCATTCTCATTTTACAGACGGACAAGGGACAGAGAGGAAAGATCACCTGCTTCAGGTGAAACACCAGGTAAGAACTTGCACGGAAACTGACAACTACATCTCTTAGACTTCCTACATCAGAAGCAGATGTAACATCAACCAGCCCTGGTTATCCACCCTGTAAGAAGAGTTCACACTAAGGAAAAGGAGACACTGACTTAAAGAAAGACATTTCTCTTTCTTTCTTTTTTTTTTTTTTTTTAAATATAAGACAGTTTAAAGGGAGGGGAGGAGTACAAATTTAAAATTTTCTTGATCAGATTTTTGTTTTTTATTTTGGAGATGGAGGTTCGCTGTGTCACTCAGGCCTGAGTGCAGTGGCATGATCTTGGCTCACTGCAGACTCTGCCTCCTGTGATTCTCCTGCCTCAGCCTACAGAGTAGCTGGGACTACAGGCGCGTGCCACCATGTCTGGCTAGTTTTTATCTTTTCATTAGAAACAGGGTTTCACCATGTTGGCCAAGCTGATCTCAAACTCTTGACCTCAAGTGATCTACCCGTCTCTGCCTCCCAGAGTGTTGGGATTTGTATTTGTGACTACTCAGGGACATTTACTCAGGGACACAGTGTTTAGAATACTCCTCTAAAGAAACAATTCCAGCCTGGGTCTAGGCAGCTTTCCAGGGTTTTGCTTGGGCAAACAGTGTTATTTCAAAAGTTTTCTGTGTTTAGGAGTTTAGGAGAAGGAGAAGAAATTGAGAGTTTCCTTGATCCAGGAGCCAGGCGATCGATGCTTTTGAGGGGTGGCAGCGGGTTGATATGGTGTGTGTGAGTGACACCACATAGGACAAATGCCCCCATGTTTTGGTCATCACATAAACCAGTTCTTGTCAAACTCCTCCCCAGAAAAGTTTCCTGCAGCTCCAGGCCAAGGGGCTGGGATGCTGCAGATTTTAAATCGTGGGAACGTCAAAGAACATACCTACTCTTCCTCTTTCTTCTCTGTCCAAGGAGCCCCTGTCTGAGAACAGCTTGACCATCACCTACCTGCAGCAAACTACATCTCTGAGCAAAACACCTGCCAGGCCAGCAGGCCAGAAGGCAGCTTCCCCAGGTCACCACCCGCCAGGTAGGACCCAGCAACTGCCACCACTCACTTTGTCGTCCCTCCACTGCCCTCGTCGTTGTCGGAAGATGACGATGTAGAAGAGCCAGGGAAGTAGGCGGAATCCATGTGGTTGGGGCTGCCGCTCTGGGCCGGGTTGATGGGCGAGGACCGCTCATACAGGGGCGTGTGTTTCCCTTCGTGAGGAATGTTGCTGTAGCTGTTCTGCTCCGTCAGATTCTTCCCGCTCGTGTCCAAAGTGAGAGCTGCTGGCTCAGAGAGGCTGTACGGGTATGGACCCTGACCCGGGGCACCCCCTGGGCTGGGCACCTGTGGGACCTGAAGGGAAGGGCACAGGTCACATGCACATGTGGCAGACAGGACCAGACTCAGGCCCAGGCTGACGTTTCCTGACTCACTTTTATGTCAAGAAACACTGGCATCTATTTCACATATCAATTCAAAAGGTTAGGAACTTACTTTAGCATTTGTCAAAATTTAATGCACACACCGTGTCTGAGGCCCGCCACCCCACCCGACCCAGGGAACACCTTACCACGGGCTTTGCTTGCAGAGAGGTCTGCGGAATGTTGAGCATCTGAGGAGGAACGTGTGGCGGCACCATCCCAGGCATTCCAAACGGACCGGGTCTGGCTGCTTCACCAACACAGAGAGAAAAGAATCACACAGCTGTGAACAGAATGCTTTTCCCAGGGGATCCTGGGGGACAGTGCATGGCGCCAGGGGTCTCACCCTCACCTGGCTCAGACATCAACACCACCATGGGCCCCAATTCTCAAAAATCATTACAAATTGCTATTTTATAGTGAAGAAAACTTAAATTTTCTGATGTTCAATTTGATGGATTGGGGCTGGGATGGTAACTTTCCAGATTTCTCAGTGAACTTGTGGTAGTGGTTCTGCTCTTGTGCACCTCCCGAGGGTCTCTGTCTGCAACTTGGTGGGCACCTCTGTAACTCAGTCTCCCTGCTCACAGCTGCTCCTGGCCTGTGGTCTCCATGAAACCAGAAGTCCTGGCAGGCATGAAAGGAACAAAGTCTGGACGAAACAGCTGCCTTTACTTTTGTCAAGCAAGAAGATTTTTCTATTTAAAGTACATTGATAGCACCATTAGGTTCTTAGCTAACTAGTGAGTTTTTACATACCTTTTAAATAAAAGGTAATTGCTTTCCTTTTATAAATTTATAAAGGAAGAGGTTTAATTGACTCACAGTTCAGCATGGCTAGGGAGGCCTCAGGAAACTTACAGTCCTGGTGAAAGCAAAGGGGAAGCAAGGCACTTTCTTCACAAGGTGGCATGAAGGAGAAATGCCAAGCAAAGAGGGAAGAGCCCCTTAAAAACCACCAGATCTTGTGAGAACTTACTGGCTATCACAAGGACAGCATGGGGAAACCATCTCCATGATCCCATTACCTCCACCTGGTCTCTCCCTGACACATGGGGATTATGGGGATTATTGTTCAGCAATGGTTATACACTTCAACGCATCTTACAAGATGAGTGATTTGGGATTCTGTGCTCTCTTAAAAAATAATTGCCTAGAGAACTGATCCAAGATGGCTGATTAGGAGCAGCTCAGGATTGCAGCTCCCAGCAAAAGCACAGAGGGTGAGTGGACACCGCATTTCCAGATGGATTTTTGTTGCTCACAGACCAGGAGATTCCCAGGTGGAGGAGTCCCATGGCCACTGCGGCTGTTTTGGCCCACGAGGCAGGTCTCTGCACAAAATACACAGGTCCAGTTGCCATTTTAGCTGGCGATTGGAGCTCCTGGGAGACAGAGTCGCCCATTCAACTGATAAAAAGGGGACCGAAATAGGGAGCCAGGCCAGGAGATTCCCGGGCAAAAAAGCGCCATGAATCTCCACAAGGCTCTTTCAGCTGGTGCAGTGGGTCACCGCACAGGAAATCACACAGATCCGGTGTCTTTTCAACAGGCTACTGGAATGCCTGGGAGACAGAGTCACCCATTCAACTGATAAAAAGGGGACTGAAACAGGGAGCTAGGCCAGGAGATTCCCTGTGAAAAATTGCCACGAGTCTCTAGCGGCTGTTTCAGCCAGTGTGGCAGGTCTACCCACAAGAAATCACATAAATCCAGGTGCCATTTCAACTGGTGACTGGGATGCCTGGGAGACAGAGTTGCCTGTTCAAATGAAAAAAATATAGTAATTTCATAAACCTGTCCCGATGTGTGCTGGCATGTGCTAGTTAGTCATCATTCCCACACTAACCTGCAAAAGTGAAGAAATCTGTTAGGGGTCGGAAAGCCACATGGAGAAACTGAAGCAGGACAGCAGGATGAGGAGCTGGGCCAGCCTGAAGCTGGGATGGGAGGCAGGGCCTGGAAGCCTCCACACTCAACACTGCATCTGGCCTCATGGGGTCTAAGGACAGGAAGAGAGCTCAGGGGCCATGTCAGCCAATAGACCTGAACAAGTGCATAGATGATGCCCATAAAGGGCTATTTCAAACACAGCACAAGACCCACAGTAACAAGGACTGAGTGTGGCCCAAATGTCAACAGCACTTTGAAACACCACCAGCAGGAAACAAGAGGACATGGGGGAGCTACACTCTCTCTTGGAATCCTTAGGTGCTGAGCACCTATGATGTGTCAGGCTGAGGCCTGGGCCTGAGGATGGAAGGAGCCTTGGGGCAGTGTTGGTAAGAGGTACACTTATGAAGACACAGAGAAAACAGAAAACTTGTGTGAGACACAACAGATCCACCAGGAGCTTGGACAGCTGCACCACTTCTCCCTGGGGTTTGTTTTAAATGTGGAAGAAAATCAAGCCTGGAGCTTCCTGACTCCAATTTCCCTCTTCTCCATCCTTTTCATCTGAACACTAGGTGATATGGTTACGCTTCATGTCCCCACCCAAATCTCATCTCGAATTATAATCTTCATAGTCCCCATAATCCCCATGTGTCAGGGAGAGACCAGGTGGAGGTAATGGGATCATGGAGATGGTTTCCCCATGCTGTCCTTGTGATAGCCAGTAAGTTCTCACAAGATCTGGTGGTTTTTAAGGGGCTCTTCCCTCTTTGCTTGGCATTTCGCCTTCATGCCACCTTGTGAAGAAAGTGCCTTGCTTCCCCTTTGCTTTCACCAGGACTGTAAGTTTCCTGAGGCCTCCCTAGCCATGCTGAACTGTGAGTCAATTAAACCTCTTCTTTTGTAAATTTTTTTGGGGGTGGGGAGGAAGGCAGGAAGGGAGGGAAGGAGGACAGTAGGGAGGGAGGAAGGAAGCGATGAAGGGAGGAAGCGGGGAGGGAGGGAGGGAGGGAGGGAAGGGAAGGAAGAAAATCAAGCAATGAGAGAGACATTGCCGACCTGGATCTAGAGGTTTACAAGTTGATTTCTTTTTTCTTTTTTTTTTTTTTTGAGAGAAGGAAAGAAAAAAACAAAACAAGTAAAGGAGAGGAAGAAAGAGGAAGAGAAAGAGGGAGAGTAAATGGAAATATTGCTTTATTTTGAAAAAAATTGGGTATTAATAATGGCCAATCAATGTTTCATTTAAACTTATGGGTAGGTGTGATGTGGTATTGACAAGAATGTATATTTTGTGTATTTGAAGTGGAGAGCTCTATAAATATTTATTAAGTTTACTTGTTCCAGATCTGAGTTAGAGTCCTTGATATCCTTATTAATTTTCTGTCTCATTGAATCTAAGTCTCATATCTGGGTGTTAGGATCATTAGCTCTTGTTGTTGTATTGATCCTTTTACCACTATATCTTTGCTGCTTTAAAATCTATTTTATCCGATACAAGAATTGCAACTCCTGCTTTTTATTTATTTATTATTTATTTTTGCTCTCCATTTGGTTGGTAAATCTTTTTCCATCCCTTTGTTTTGATTCTTTGTATATCCTTGCATGTGAAACAGGTCTGGATGTAACATGCCATTGGGTTTTGGCTGTGTCTTTTGATTGTGGGATTTAGTCAATTTAAATTTAGGGTTACTGCCATTTGATGTTGACTGGCTGTTTTATCCATTCATTGATGTAAATTCTTCTTTATGTTGGTGCTCTTTACTTTTTGGTGTATTTTTAGAAAGGCTAATACTGGTTGTTTCTTTCTGTGTGTAATGCTTCTTTCAGAAGCTCTTGTAAAGCAGGCCTGGTGGTAATAAAATCTCTGAGGTCTTGCTTGTTCATAAAAGATTTTATTTTTCCTTCAGTTGTGAAGCTTAGTTTGGCTGGATATGAAATTCTGGGCTGAAGGTTCTGTTCTTTGAGGATGTTGAATATTGGCCCCCACTCTCTTCTGGCTTGTAGAGTTTCTGCTGAGAGATCTGCTGTAAGTCTGATAGGCTTGCCTTTGTGGGTAACCTGACCTTTCTCTCTGGCTGCCCTTAGTATTTTCTCCTTCATTTCAACCCTGGTGAATCTAACAATTATGTGCCTTGGGGTTGCTCTTCTTGAGGAATATCTTTGTGGTGTTCTCTGAATTACCTGAGGTTGAATGTTGACCTGCTTTGCTAGTTTAGGAAAATTTTCCTGAATAATATCCTGAAGGGTATTTTCCAGCTTGGATTCATTCTCTCTGTCGCATTCAGGTACACCTATCAAACGTAAATTTGGTCTTTTCACATAGTCCCACATTTCTTGGAGACTTTGCTCATTCCTTTTTATCCTTTTTTCTCTAATCTTTTCTTCACGTTTTATTTCATTAAGTTGGACTTTGACCTCTGATATCCCTTCTTCTGCTTGAACAATTCGAGTGTTTAAACCTGTGCATACTTCTCGGAGTTCCTGTATTGTATTCTTCAGTTCCATTAATTCACTGATACGCCTCTCTAAGTTGTCTATTCTCAATAGGGTTTCATCAAACCTTTTTTCAAAGTCCCTAGTTTCTTTACATTGGGCTACAACATGTTCTTTTAACTCACCGAAGTTTCTTATTATCCATTCCTTGAAGAGTGATTCTGTCATCGGGATGCGCTCGTTCTCCATCAAGCCTTGTTCCATTGTTGATGTGGGACTGTGATCATCTTTAGAGGGAGAGGCGTTCTGACTTTGAGTATTCTCAGCTTTTTTACGCTGGTTTCTTCCCGTCATTGTAAATTTATCCTCCTGCCGTCTATGAAATTACCAACTTTCAGATTAGGTCTCTTGAGTGGACGTCCAGGTTGTTAGTTCCCAGGGCCTGAACGGCAGCGTTAAGACTGATGGTGCTTTTCTGCCCAGGATTCTCCTGTCTGGCTTCCTTCTTGTGTCCGTAGTAGGCGACTCTGCCTTCCCGGGGCTCCAAACCTCGGTCAGAAGGGGAACCGGTCCCGTTTACTCTGAGCCGAGCACTGCCGCACCGAGGTGCTGTCACAGCCGCTGCACCGGGCTCTGGTGTCCTGCTGGGGACCCTTGCGGGTCCTCCGAACCTGTTTACTCTGCTCCGAGAGCTGCCGTGCCGAGGTGCTGGCGGAACCACTGTGCCGGCCACGAGAGTCGCGCTGGCGACCCGTGTGTTTCCTCCACTGGGGGATCTTTTGCTCCGTGAGCGACCTGAGTTTGTCTGAAAGTGTGGCGTCCTCTAGTTCTCCACGCCTTCCCTGAGAGCTGCAATCGCAGGATGTTAGCGATCGGCCATCTTGGATCGTTCCCTCCTTTATAAATTACACAGGCTCAGGAAAG